TCTTTCTTTCTTTCTTTCTTTCTTTCTTTCTTTCTTTCTTTCTTTCTGATTGCTTGCTTGTTTTGGTCTATTTGCTTTTACTTTCTAGTAGCAGTGTGCAGGGGAAGTAGGTCATCCTGGTGTAAAGTAACTGGAAAAAGTAAGCAACGTAGGAGTGTAGATTCTCCATAGTCATCATTTTCCCAAAGCCTCCACTTTCTTACCCATAATCCAGATAAATTAATCATCTGCCATTTTGCACATATATCCTCTGCCTTCCAACTTTTTTGGTTTTGTTTGGCTTTTTCTTCAGTAGGAAATTGCTTTTACTATTCTTAACTCTCTGAAAGCCACATCTTCAAGAACCCCTTCAAATAACAGCACAAACATGAACCTCTCTTGTATTTCTTTAGTTGGTGACTGCTGTGATTTTCTCGTAAGAATTCTCTAAAAATTCTGTGTTTTTCCTCTTGTTCTTTACATAGTCATAAAGAGTTGTGATTTGACCCTTGGTCCATTCATATGCTGGCATCTTTTCCTAACGTGCTTGACTTACCATGTATGAACAAGCAACAAGCTGCCCAGTATTGCCAGTTTGGGCATTCTACATTGTCTTTTATGTTCTTTGAATCTACCTATAGCTCTGCAATCTTTTTTTAATTCTTTATTAATTACACTTTATTCACTTTGTATCCCTCCTGTGGTTCCCCCCTCCTCCCATCCCAATCCCTCCCTGCCTTCCCACTCTGCATGCATGCCCCTCCCCAAGTCCACTGATAGGGAAGGACTTCTTTTCCTTCCTTCTGATCCTAGTCAATTAGGTCTCATCAGGAGTGGCTGCATTGTCTTCTTCTGTGGCTTGGTAATGCTGCTTCCCCCTCAGGGGGAGGTAATTAAAGAGCAGGCCAATCAGTTCATGTCAGAGACAGTCCCTGTTCCTATTACAATGGAACCCACTTGGAGACTGAACTGCCATGGGCTACATCTGTGCAGGAGTCTTAGGTTATCTCCATGCATAGACCTTGGTTGGAGTATCAGTCTCAGGAAAGACCCCAGTGCTCAGATTTTTTGGTTCTGTTGCTCTCCTTGTGGAGTTCCTGTCCTCTCCAGATCTTACCGTTTCCCACTTCTTTCATAAGATTCCCTGTACTCTGCCCAAAGGTTGGCCATAAGTCTCAGCATCTGCATTGATAGTCTGCAGGGCAGTAGCTCTGCAATCTTATGCAAGGGTTTTTCTCCTGTCTGAATCTTCCCTAAAACGAATAACCAATTTACTTCCTAGTATTTACATCCTCTGAGTTCTGAAGAGTCACTGAGGTAATGTATTAAAAGTTAGTGGCAAAAGATACTATCTCTCCACTAAGAACTAGGAGCAAAGCAGAACCAGAGTTCACAGTTCATATGGTGAACATCAAAACTGTACTGGAAGGAGCTTGTGTCTTTTCTGCAGGGAGCTCTGTTTTGGGACAGTTGGATCTGGATGCCTTTCATACATTAAGTGTCTCTTAGTAAGGAAGCTGCAGATTCTTATTAGATTACCTCGTGATGGGCTTGACAATGAGTTCTGCTGGAAAGTCCAGTGATGTGGGAGTTTGGCCCTGGAGGACCCAGAGTTCTTACCCAGTGCTAAGGCTACCAAGTCATCATCCTCCCATTCTCTCAGCAGACTATTTTGTCTTTGCCATTATGATTTGACATTAAATTCAAGAAGCCTATTCTGCAACTTGTTTTGGAGTCTTTCTCAATCTCTGTGTGACTGCCTCCAAGCCTGGCTTAGCTTTGAGGAGGTCATCCATCTCTGCTGCTGAGCAGCCCATGTTCAGTCTAACTTTGCATCTAATTGTGCAGTGACCCTTCCCCATACTCAGGGGAACTTCAGACCAATCAGATTAGAAAATGGCTCATTCCCATTCCCCTCTCCATCCAATGTGCCCTGCCATGATTTGGGTCACATGCTTGGTGTTTTGCGTCATCTCCGCAGATTCCTTTCAAAGACTGCCCTAATTCCTAATGGACCCATCAGCCTGCAACTTACATTTAGATTTTGCATTCTTATTGTTCCCCACAGACTTCACAAGGCTTTACAGCCTTGATGAGAGTCTCTTGTCTGCACAGACCTCCTCATGGCATGCTAAACCAGAACCCATTTTGACGTCTGCAGTCTCTCTTGGGAGGCAGGCATAGAGCTTGTTGTTTTTGTTCAATGTACAATGTACCCAGGATTGGGGGAGATTACCTGTTATATAATGAGGGTGGGTAGCTGCTGTGCTATGTAAATTCAGATCACAACATGAAAAGCACTATGGCTACAGGATCGGATGCTTCCTTTTTTTTTAATGACTCTATCCAGTCATTTTTCCGATGTCTGCATAAGATTTCTGTTTTATTTGCTGTGTTCTTAGAACTGGGTTAGGTCTTTTCCTTATTAGTACAACCAAAGATGCAATGTGGATTTCACAGTCTTCTCATTGGTAGTTGCTTCAGTCCCCAGAATTTTGTGTTGTAAGAGCTAGTATGAACTCATCTTCCTCACCACCCAAGTTCTAGTAGTGTTGGCTAGTACCTATCAACCACAGTGGTGACACTTTGTATTGACATAGTGTTAAGAACCTGATAATACTTGGTAATGATAATTTTAAAAGGTATATTTTAATTGATAATGGACATCATTTATTATTTCATAAGTGCAAGCTTTGAGATATAAGGAGAGTCACTGAAAAAGGGTACTCAATGCCAAGGTGACTTTCAGAGTTGTAACTCAATATGATAGCCTAATCCCTTGTTTCTATCTGAGCTCCTAAATATAGGACTCTGGCCCCTTTGTCTTTGAAGGCTAGGAGATTAGTTCTTTGCTGATACACTGTATGTGTCTGTAATCCACCATACCTAACTTTAAAATCCAACCCAGCTGCTCCCTGGGTATGTGCTCTTACTTATTCAACCCCTGTGAATCTTTGTTTAGATGTGAATGTCCTTTAGTACTTTCCAGCAAGATATTTTGTTTCATATACCTCAAAATAATGGAGGGAAATCTTAGGTCATCCCATCTTATGTTCCTTGAAAAACTAAAGAATAAAAAGGTGGTCTTCTCTAATTTTGACCTTCTGAAACTAGACGGGAATTCAAATGCAGTCTTCTCCCAGCATCTCTGCCTCAAGCTAGTCTTTTATGGCTGGTTTTGGGTCCCATGGAATGCCTTAGAACTGGCCTCCCAAGAGAGCTGGTGCCCCATACAGAAAGATCAGTTAAAATGGAAAAAGTTAACAGGGCTTTAAAATCATGTCATTAGGCTTTGCCCAGCCCTACCCCCTCTTAGTGGCAGGGCTTAGTCTTATGCAGTTTTACCCAGCAATACCTGGCAGTGAGGCTGAAAGGCAAGCACTAAGCCATGTGGCTATTGTTTCACAATGTTTGGTATACTTCAGAGGGTTTCAGAGAAGAGTGCTTGTTTTCTCTTTCTGTTTCTTCTACTGCTCCCTCCTGTCTGTCCCCACCACCCTTTTCCTTCATGCTCACTGTGCTATATATGCATACCTACCCAAGGTCTTTCTTTGGGTTCAAATATAGAGTAATTTGAGGTTGAAAAATGTAAAAGAATTATACACCAATTCTCTGTCAATCAACAGAGAATTGACTATCTGTGCAGTCCATATTTGACAATCATTACCCACCTCACCAGGCACCTCTGTACTGGAATCAAAATTTCAATTTAGCCACCTGGCTACTTAGAAATAGCCAGTTACTTACTGTCAACCTGAGTGATGCTGTCTTGTCAACTATACCCACCACAGTGACCCAGGGCTTCTCTTTCTTTGGGCATCTGTCATCACAGACTTCCATCAGGTGTTCCAGAG